CACTCTCAGAGTTTCCAACTCAGTAGGTCTTGGGTGGAGATCTAGAATTTTCAGTTCTAACAAGTTCACAGGTGATACTGGTGCTTAACCTAGGGCAACATTTTGAGGACTACTGAGTTAGAATATAGTTCAGGTTTAATTAACAGAAACATGACATTATAGTTATTTAAAGAAGACAGAATTTTATTTCTAGAGGTAGGGTGTTTAGGGTCGCTAAGGTGCCCCTTACAGTCATATATATATATGTTGTTGTTGTTATGTGCTGTCAAGTCAGACCCGACTCATAGTGACCCCTCCTTGGGTTTCCAAGGCAGTAACACTACGGAAGTAGATTGCCCCATCTTCCTTCCGAGGATATATTGATAGATAGATAGATAGATAGATAGATAGATATAATTTTTTTTTCTTTTATCCTGTCATGTCCACACTGTTGCCTTTATTCACACTACCATAGGTGGCTTATCACTGTGATTGAATCCCAGCCATCAGGAGAAATTTGGGAAGGGGAAGTGAATAATCCTTCTCTTTAGGGACGCATCACATGTACACATGCCCAAAGCATAAATCAAATGGCCACATCTAACACAAAGGGACATGGAAGAAATTAGAATATAATCTGTAGCCAGATATCTAGGTAAAAACTAAGGTTCTATGACTCTGAGAGAGAGAGAGAGAGAAGTGGAGAACAAATAAATATTAATGGAAATCTGTAGGGTTGCTATGAGTTGCAATAAACTAGGCAATGGATTTGGTTTGCATTTAAAGTTCTGTCCCAGATACAGATTGTTTATGATTATCATTATCATTTTTGAACAATGGCAAAATAATTCTCTGTAAGTGGCAGACTATAAAGAAGGCCTGGTGGCACTGTGCTTAAAGCACTCAGTTGCTAACCAGAAGGTCAGTGGTTACAAACCTACCAGTTGTTCCCTGGGAGAATGATGCTGCAGTCTGCCTCTGTAAATATTTACAGCCTTGGGAACCCTACGGGATAGTTCTATTATGTCCTATAGGGTCGCTATGAGTTGGAATCAACTCAATGTCAGTGAGTGGGTAGCAAAATATATTCAACCTAAAATTTACTTCAAATAGGAATGTAACTTATTTCACCTTTTATCTATTCTCCACATAAAGGAATCATTTAGTTCATTCTCAGGGGAAGAAAAACATATCCCCCTTTGCTTTCCAATAATTGGATGCTCATTAGGTTTCTTCCAGATGAGCCATCGAGGGATACTATTAGGGAGATACATACAATATAGAGCTTTTGTTGGGGAAAGCGAAAGGGAACTGGAGTGAGAGGCAAGGGAGGCTAGCTAGCTAAAATGGCGTAGGAGGCTATGACTCTCACATGTCGTTCTGCTTACGAAAATGTTTCAAAAACAGAGCCCCCACCCAAAGAGTATTGTGTGGTTTGACTGAGAGAATTGCTATAAGGATTAAAGTTCCCAGGAGTCCTCCTCAGTCAACCTTTTAGTCCCCATCTGAAAACTTCACATTGCCTCCATCTAGGCCCTGGGTGATTGTCTTCATGTCTCACTATCTGACTGCCCACCCATGCTGGGGTATGACCTAGGCATGGACTTTTCCAATGCTGCCATTAGCTTTTCCAAGTGAATGCTTTACCACATTCCCTTTGAGAAACCCAGTAACCCACAAGAGAGTCCTAGGTGCTTGGAGCAATGGTGGGGAACAGTTACCACTCTACTCTCAGAGCTTAAAGTAAACTAGCTCAAGTTCCTCAACTAGGATAATGGGAAGTGGACACCCATATGACATAGGTCAAAATCAAAGGGAGAAGCCATAAAGGAAATGGCTAACCAATTTTACTATATAAAAATGAATAATAACTTTTGAACATTAATAAATAAACTTCCCAGACTTCAAAGATCCTTCCCAAATACAAGATTTGATGATATAGATATATGTTATAGACATATATATGATATAAATATATATATAGTATAATAATGTCTATATTGCCTAAGCAGTATTGATCATACTGGCCCCAAGACCTTAATTTCACCCAAAATTTGTTTTACAAAGATGCATTATGACAAAGAAAAACTGTTCTGTGAGTTCACAGAGACTTTATGGCCAGTTAATTCACTATATTTTAATACACTAGTGTTAAGACTGCTAACCAAAAGGTCAGTGCTTTGAACTCACCAGCCCTTCCCTAGAAGAAGGATGAGGCATTCTGTTTCTGGTAAGATTTATAGCCTTGGAAACCCAGTGGGGATCACTACGAGTCGGAATCAACTCAACGGCAATGAGTTTTCTGAATATTAAGTATTAAGATGGAGTGTGAAGAGGAGAGGAGGTATGATAATATTGAGTCAGACTTTGAGCGGCAAATCACTATCCTCATATAGGAGATGAAGAATTTATTTTTAATAACACCATTATTCAAGCCTGTGTGACTTCAGAACTTATGCACTTTGTACAATACCAAACTGTCTACATAGAACGATGCACCAAAAACATGAGAAGATCCCTGTTTGGAGTTCTTTAGGGTTCAAGTCATAAAACATGGCTGGTTTTAAGAATATTGTAATTTAAGACAAGGCCCATTTTTCAGCAGTGTTTTCATCACTAAAGGTTTCCTGTCCACGCATGGCTCAGGCATTCAACACTAATGAATATACAGCAATAGTCCTTGGTGTATAGCCATAATGTAAACATAATGGTAAAGAGCACAGATTCTAAAGCCAGGCTGCCTTTGTCCAAATCCCAGCTTTGCTGCTTGTGATAAAATGCAGGATGATAAAAACATCTACCTCATAGGATTTTCTGAGAATTATATGTGCTAACAATATTAATGTTATTGTGCTAATATTATTGATATAATTGGGAAATTTGTAATATGGATGATATATTAGAAAACATTATTGTGTACATGTCAATTTTTTCTTTTAAATGATAATGATATTTTGAGTGTATAGGAAATGTCCTGGTTCTTACACTAAATGCTGAAATTATTTAGGAGTGAAGAATCATGAAGTCCTGGTCTCTGAAACCTACTTCAAAATGGTTTGGCAGACACACATAAATAAAGAGAGAGGATAATGTAAATATGGCAAAATGTTCACCATTGTTGAATCTAGCTGAAAGCTGTAAAACAAAAGAAAGCAAAGCAAAACAAAAAAAATTCAAATAAGTGTGCTTATATACCAATCTTTCAATTTTTCTGAAAGCTTGACATTTTCAAAATAAAAAGTTGGGGACAATATGACTCATGTAAAACCCTTACAAGGGTTGGCTATCAGACTAAAATCTATCCGAGGACAGAGTTTTTCCTTTACATATCATCAATGTCTAACTATTGACTGGCTCCATACTAGATGCTCCACACACTTTGTAAATTAATTAAATAAAAAAAGATGAATGAATTCTTGCTCTTCTTACTCCTTCCTTGTACCTTTCTTTCACTATTTCCATCTGAAAACTTTCTTTCAGATTTATATTAAAGGTGTAAATTGCTTTTGAGGCTTTGTATATCAGCCCTCTTTAGTGTGTGTGTGTGTGTGTGTGTGTCTGTGTTGTGTGTGTACATAATAAGAGCTTTTCTACCCTCCCTCCAACTCCTAACGTTACCTAAAATCAAAACAAGTAGGAATACAATTGTCAAATGAAATACAGGACACTCTGGTGGCCCAGGAGCTCTCGTAGCGTAGTGCCTAAGGCACTTAATTACCAACCAGAAGGCTGGTGGGACCCCTAGCCGCTCCTCAGAAGGAAGGTTGGGCATTCTACTTCTGTAGTGATCCCACCTTGGAAACCCAAGGAGGGATCTCTATGAGTCAGGTCTCACTGGACGGCACAGAACAACAACGACACAACTAGTGGCCTAGTGCCTAAGGCATTTGACTCCTAACCAGAAGGCTGGTCTCTCCTAGTGAAAAGGCTGGCCTCTTCTCACCAGCCACTCCTCAGAAGGAAGACTGGGCAATCTACTTCAGTAGAGATACCACCTCAGAAACCCAAGGAGGGGTCACTATGAGTCGCAATTCACTCGATGGCAGTGAGTTTTTTTTTTTTTTTTTCTCTGTGAAATTTGTTTTTCAAACAAGTAGTAAATAATTTGTTTAGCATAAGTATATTTCAACTATTTTACAAAGCTAAATACTGCATCAGGCATATTTAAACACAAAAAAAAGTTCCTTGCTTATCTGAAATTAAATTTTAAGCAGACATCTTATATTTTTTTATTTGCTAAATCCAGCAACCTTAAGTAGGAAGTATTTATTTCCCTGATCTATATGGCTGATTCTTGACACAAGCATGACAAGGTCTTAGATATGTTGATTTTTTTTTTTAACTGTATAATTCTTTTGAGTTGAAAACCATATTGGTAATGAGCTTTTGATCCTTTATCTGACTTGTCATCCATTTGTTTTCCCCTTTTCCGTTCTGAACCTCTCATTTTCTTCTTAATTATAACACATTTGAAGGATTGCATTTTTATTTGAAATATAATCCATTGATAGAATATACATACCAGTTGCATAAAAATACTTAAGAATGATAATTAAACTTAATATACAGTATTAGATGGGTAATGTGATTAAAGAATTACATATTTATTGCATACAGTGTCATTAATGTCAATGAATCTCCTTAGAATCACATATTAAACAGAGAGTATGTTTTAGCAGTTAGGAAGAGTGGAAACATGTTAAAAATACTATTTGTAGAATTACAACTTCAGAACATTCAAGGGACCTTTATCTTTATTTTATGTTTTCTACTATTATTTCAAGTTTACTACTTGACAAATGGCCCTGTTTTACAATAACCTTTCAATAATATATCAGGGGAAAACAACAAGAATCCCATTACTTGCAGAAGCAATGACAGAAAAAATGCTTTGGAATAGTAGCACCATTCCACATTATAATATGCACATTTGTTATATTGCACCTTCCTGAGTTAAACTTTGAAAATGGCAAACACACACAAGATGGATGAATAGATCCCAGACTTGGACTTCGCTGGTTTTAGTAATAATTGTGACCATGATAGCTATCATAGCTCTGCCCTTTGTAATAGCCATACTCATCCTCATAGGCTCGGTAATTATCCCCACGAGGTTCCCCATTCTCATTTTCATAGACTTCATATCCATTATCATATTCATTGGTACCTATTTGTTCATACTCGCCCTCATATCCAGTGGTGGTGATTTCTCTGGTTAGTGGGGTTGTGGTCCCATAGACCTGTGGTGGGGTTGTAGGTTCAAGCCCACCATTGTCTTGTTCTCTGGTCATTATGGCTTCTTCTGCATTGGCTTCAGTGACACTTTCTTCTTCACCTTCTTCTCCATTGTCTCCACCACTGCTACCATTACCGTTTTCTACATCTGTGTTATTGGTGCTGGTGCCATTTATGCTTTGCTCATTTTCATCCACTTCAGCTTCATTTTCTTCATTTTCACTCTCTTCCTCCTCTTCTTCTTCTTCTTCATCACTTTCCTTCTTCTTGGTAACTTTTTTTCCTATATTCTCAGCCTGTGGGGAAAAATTTGAAAGTATCCAAGTCTAGATGTAAAAAAAGTTAAACTCAAAACCATCACTTCATCCAATAATTATTCTGTACTGAGAGCCTTAGTCTAGATGTAATTTTGAATTAAAGCAAAATTAACTTACAAAAGAATTGTTGGGGCTTTAAAAATTCACAGTAAATATCAATTTTACTGGACATTAATGGAGCAGAAATGTGCCTGATAAACCTTTTCTGGGGGAGTTGCTTCCTGTCACTTTTTGACTCATTTTTTTCTATCTTGAAATCTCCTTCCTGGAAATGCAATTGTACCAAACTGGTCACATACTGTAAGGACCATTTACCCATTTCTAAGATGCTTTTCCTCAGTCTTCTGTTTTATGTAGAAAGTCAGTATGATACCATGGAGAGGAGAACTTGCCTGGGAAAATATATTTTCTTATTTGTAAACAGGTAACTTATATTTGCCCTTGCTTTTTCAATGAGTTAGCAAAGATATGAAATACTATGTGCGTAGTGTCAGGATAACCTTAGACTTCCATAAAGAAATAAAAATGAATTTAACTTGAAAATTATTACCTTTTTGGGAAGCTGGATTGCAGCTAACCCTATGGTCTCCATTCCAGGTGTGGCCCCCTCTCCATAGTCAGGTGTTGTAGCAGAAAGTGTAGTGTTCTCAGCCTCGGATTCTTCATCTTCATTCTCATTAGACTCTTCATTCTCTCCATTGTTTTCTTCTTCATTTGAAGACTCCTGGTGGAAATATTCATAACAAGAAAAGATATTTTAGCCTGAAAATAACTCAAGAGTAGTTGGAGTTGTTGTGAACCATTATTGGAAAGAACATTGGATACCAATATCCCTCAGCCAGCTCATCACTCAAAGGTGATAATTCTGCTGCTCTTTATGTCATTTTCTCATTTCTAAAAACTCAATTCAAAGTTATCTCATCCTATTTACCACAGGCAGTGTGTTTTAGATATTCCTGCTTTCTATTTCATCAATTCAAAAATATTTGCATATTTCTGAATATCTGGCTATACATAGTCATGCTATACATTCCTTAGACTCTGAATTTCTTCTTACTAATGACTACAATATGGCAGTAAATTCATTCTTATATTTTCTGACAAATAAATACTCATTGTATTTATTCCTACAACAGCTCTATAAGGTAGAATATGCTTGTTGGGTCCTGTACCCTTATTTCAAACTCTGAGGTCCAAGAGGATAAATGACCTACATGAGGTCAAAAAGATGGTAGTTCATTAGTGGAAGGCTCATGACTAGAGCCGTCATTTTCCTACTCCTAGACCTCCATGTTTTCTCGTAAGACACCATTTATTTTCCTAAATACTTAGTCTAAAGATGCCCTGTCTGCAATGAGTTAAAAATGTAAATAGGTTAGTTTGTTGATGTATAATAGGTTTCGAATATCTTATAATAGATAAATGAACAATCATTTGTGTTTTAAAAGGGATAATTAACCCACTAAACCAGAAAACAAACCAGTTGCCTTTGAGTTGATTTCGATTCATGGCAAATGTGTGTCAGAGTAGAACTATGCACAGTAGGATTTTCAATGGCTGTGACTTCTCAGGAGGAGATTGCATGAACTTTCTTCTGAGGAACCTCTGGGCACACATTTTCATTTATTATCTGAGCACTTAGCCATTTGAGTTACTCCCTAGCAACCCACTAGAAAGGCTAAAATGACTGAAGGAAATAAGTGTTGGTGAGAATGTGGATCAACTGAAGCCTTCATACACTAATGGTAGGAATTTACATTAGTATAACTGCTTTGGAAAATTGTTTGACTGTGTCTGTTGTTGTTATGTGCTGTCGAGTCAGCCCCAACTCATAGCGACCCCTCCTTGGGTTTCCAAGGCAATATCACTACAGAAGTAGGATTGCCCAACCTTCCTTCTGAGGAATGGCTGGTGGGTTTGAACCACCAGCCTTCTGGTTAGCAGTCAAGTGCCTTAGGCACTATGCTACCAGAGCTCCTAGCAAGTTTGAATATATGCATAATATTGACCCAGAAATTTCACTTCTAGGTAAAATACTCTACAGAAATGAGCGCACATGTGCACCAGAAAAAGTCCTAGAACGTTCATAGCAGCAGTGTCTGTAATAGCCCAAGCTTGGAAATTACCCAAATGCTCATTAACAGACTAATAATATGTTATGATACATTCATATAATAAAATAATGACAATGAGAATGAATGATTTATAACTATGAAATAATATGGATGAATTTCTGAAGTTGAGAGCAGAAGGCCTGCACGAAAAAGTATATGCTGCATGATCCTGACCATATAATATACAGAAGCAGGCAAAAGTAATTATCTGTTACCAGTCAAAATAGCAGTTGCACTATTGAAGTTGGTTAATGAATGGAATGGAGCACAAAATGTGTTGCCTTTTGATGTGGGTATGCTTACAATTGTGTGTTAAGTTTCTGAAAATTCAATGAGCTGTATATTTATGATGATTGTATTATATATATTATATTTTAATAACATTTAAAAGTGAGGCTGAATAATTTAGAGGTAGGAAAAAATGTGTAATTACCAAATAGAAAATGTGCATAAGCATATTTCATTTGCTTATGTGAATAGAATTACGAGGGATTCTGTACTCAATCCAAATCTCCAATGAAATTTTAGGAAGTAATGGATAAAAAGAGATTTCAGAATTTCTTTAGATGGAAGATTCTGTTTTCTTCATGCTCTTTCCTATTATCACTTTTAAAGAATGATCTGTGGAACCTTTATTCCTCTGAAATTTAAAACTCAAACCACCAAATATTTACTTCGTATCACATGTACCTACCATAAAGCATTGCAATAAGCAGTGTAAGGAGAGAGAAAAGAGGACAAGACATAGTTTCTACCAAAAATGGTGTTTGTAACCTAAGGTCCCCAGTCTTCTGGGACATAGGGAATTTGCAGATAAATTCTGGGATGGCCACAAATGTGCCGAAATTGTTGGCAAAATTTTCGTGTGTGTGCATTTTATGAAATTCTCAAAGGAATTCTAATCTTTCTCCATCTCCAACCACTACCCACAACTGAAGAAGAACCATTGTCAAAAGGGTATGCAATCTAATTGGGAAATCTAGTTGGCAAGATAATTTTATAATCACTATATGGCGTAGTGCCTAAGGCATTTGACTGCTGATGGTTTAAACCAACCAGCTGCTCCTTGGAAGGGAGATTGGGTATCTACCAGCCACTCCTTGGAAGGAAGGCTGGGCAATCTACTTCCACAGAGACACGGCCTCGGAAACCTGAGGAGGGGTTGTTCTGAGTCAGCATCCAGTCAACAGCAGTGAGTTTGCATATATATATA